TCTGAGTACTGCTTTGGCTGTTTCCCAGAGGTTTTGGTAAGTGGTGTTTTCATTGTCATTTGTTTCAAGAAACTCATTAATTTCATTTTTTATTTCTTGTAGTACCCAGTCATGGCCATATTATGTTTTTATCCTCCCAGAATCAGTAACTATTCTAACAAGAGTATCTTAGGAGTTGTTTCATAGGTTTTTGTTTGCCTGGGAAAGAATTGTTTTTCATTCAGTTATTTACGTTTGGAAAATAACTTCTTGAGAACTTCAGTAAGTGTTAGGCACAGTGCAATTTATTCATTTACTCACTCCTGTTGAGTTGACATCAAATTGTAGCTCAACTTCCAGTGGCTTTTCAGAAGCTCTGTATCACATGGAAGGAGATTATCCATCTTTCTCCCACAGAGTTGCTGAAGGATTCCAACCACCAAAGAGGCATTGCTTCTGGAATAGTAGCACACTGTTTTATTAACTAGGCCACCGGGCTCCATGCGTTGTATATCATGGTACTATAAATATAAATACAGCCTTCACATACTTCCAAAGTAGAGGTTTGGTTGTGTTTTTTTTTTTTTTTGCGTTGGGGAAACAGTGCACAGTATGTGATAAAATGCATTCCCGGCCCTTAATATTCTAAACCCCTCTTTCATGTTCTTCCAAAACTTCCCATTGGGCCTGCTGCTTCATTCAGATTATCCTTTGTCTCTCAAATCGTCATCACATTTTTATCCTTTTAACATTTAAGTTTCTTGCCACTAGGCCACCAGAGTGCCCTAACACTTAAGTTTTGAGGCCATGATTTTTGTAGTAGCTACATTTGATATTTGTCTCAAGGCTTACCTAAAGATAGCAAACTTTCTCCTAATCCAACCCAAACCCACATCTTGCGAACACTTACTTGAATGACAGCCTTGAAGGCAAACACATAAATTACATCCATTATCTCTTTTACATGAAGATTTAATAAAGAGGAAGAGACTTAGTAATATGTTATAATAAGACCAAAAGGGTTTTTTTAAAAAGAAACTTAGAATTCTGGAAAAGGTCAATAAAAAAATGGTCAGGCCTTGGAGAAGTGTATTAATGATCTGAATTGTAAAGGGGAGCAGAGGTAAGACTGATGGGAGTAGCTGAGCAGGATTTCTAAAGTAGAGACAGGAACTGTGGTTTAGTAGTATTAATCATTAACTCTGTGGGAACTTCCTCAGTAAATAAGAGAAAACAAAATCCTGCTTTACATGGTCCATTGTCCACTGTTCTGTTACAGATTTCATTTTGACACTTCCCCTCAGAGAATAATGTCCCAGAGAATCCAGCTGTAATATTCCCGTGTCACTAATACAAGATCTTTGACTTTTCATCAGTGTAAATAGGAAAGTGACCTTGGATGTTCAGTTCAATCTTATTTAGAATGTGAGTCTTAAAGACAGTGTTGAGAGTTCAGCTGGTCCACACTGGCCCACGATGAGAGTAGTAAGCCGCCTCATTTGGGAGATGTGTAAAGAAGAACTTCTTAGGAGTCCACAGTGTATTCTGTGCTATCAAATTTATGCCAGAATGAGTTTTTAGATTTTGTTTTTGGGGTGTTTTCCCTCTTCTCCATTTGTTTGGTGTTACTCACTTATATTTTGGGTCTGTTTTCTAATATGTTGTAGGTTAGGGCATTGAAGTCTTTTATTAAGCCTTGTAGTTCCAGATGCGGTCCAGATGAGGTGACTCTGATTGTGTCATAGATACTGGAAAATAGCAAAAGGAAATGTTGTATCATTTCCTTTAATTTTTAACTTTTCCTTACCTGAGTAGACAGAGATATTTAGATGAGAGACTAGCAGACTTTTTCTTTAAAGAGCCAAATAGAAAATATTTTGACTTTGAGGGCTATATAGTTTATCAAAACTACACAATTCTACCATTATAACAGAAAGTAGCCTCTCCTCAAGTTAAAATGGTTCTTCCATTTAAGTGGTTTCATTTTAAAATTATTATATGAATACCTATATAATAGTTTTACTTTTAACCACTAAACTTGATCCACAGAACCTAAGATCTTTTAGCCTTGAAGAAAAGTTTACTTAAAACAAACAGATATGTCTTGGAGAAAGTACAATCAGAGTGCTCCTTGGAGGCAAATATGATAAAGCTTTGTTTCACATACTTCAGGAATATTATTAGGAGAGGCTAGTCCTCGGAGAGGGACATCATGCTTAGAAAGGTGGAGGGTTGGCGAAAGAGAAGAACACCCTCAATCAGATGGATTGACACAGTGATGACTGTGTGTAAAAAAATGTAAAGATGGCACAGGATGGGAATAGGGTTCAGATCTATTCAGAGTCTTACTTGACTTGATGATGCCTAACAACAATAAAAAGGAGTCCTAGTAAAGATGCCAGCTTTTTCCTCAAATGGAAGTCTCCTTTCATCTTTTTTATAAATTTCATGTTCTAAAAAAAAGGAGAAAAAAAAGTTTACTGACCCTCTATCTGTAGACTGAGTTTCTTTCTTCTCATCTCAGAATCTGTAAGAGGATTTGCACAAAATGAGGCTGTGGGAAGCCTGATAATTCATCCATATAGAAAAGACACCACCCCCTTAAAAAGAAACCTTCCTAAAACAACACAAAGCCACTACTATCCAGTTAATTATGATCAGTCCATCTGATTACCAAGGCTGTACATCTTTACTGGGGGAGACTGCCAGCTGGTGGGTTTGAACCACTCATCTTTTGGTTAGCAACCCAACGTGTAATGTACTACAGTACCAGAGCTCATTATAGAACAGACTCTGGGTGGTTTTTTTCCCTCCCTTCATCCTGATCTTGCTATGCCATTTAATAAAAAAATATTTCACAAATAGCCATGAGCTAGGAACAAAGGCAAAAAAAGAAGAAATGTATCCTGTGTTTGCCATCTGACTGGTGATCCAGTTCCTGCCCAGGCTTGTACTTGGCTTCTTACAGAGGTAGAGTAGGTTTCATGGCAGGCTGGGTGATGCACTAACTCCAGTCACCCACCATAGTAGGGTATGCACAGCATAATCTAAGGCTCACCATGGCCATGTTTTCTTAGAATTGCTCTCCCCCAGCCTGCTTGTCCATTACTTCACTGTCCCATCTCTTTCCATACGATACATACAGACTTTTTCACGTTAAGGTTTCTACAATAATAACTGGTGGTTTAATGGTAAGGAGTTGTGCTGCAAATGCAAAGATGCATGGTTCGAATTCACCAGCTCTTCTGCCAAAGAAAGATAGGCAGTCTCCTGTGCAATTTACTGCCTCTGTAAACCCACTGGAGGGTCAGCTATTGGTGAGTTCCAACTTTAGTGGTCCACAATAACAACTGCAGTCATAGGGGAAAACTGATGGTGGGGGTGGAATAAGGAATTCTAATGCTAGTAGAACCTGATGTGTAGTTTCTGACTCCTGAAGAGTAAACAAAACCTACTCAATTAAACTAATGGCTATCAAGTAATTAATTCCAACTCAGAGTAAACCTTTACGACAATAATAGGTTGCCACCGTAGTGGAACTTGTTCATAGCTGACCCTCTTTTGGGGTGGCAGAGTAAGTAAATCCTTATCCACTAGGCCACCAAACCTCCCTAAAGTGACCTTTAGGACAGAGCCAAACTGTTCCGTAGAATTTTCAAGGGTGTTTATCTTTGATGGTGTTTGTTTTGTGCCCTCATTCAGAACCAACCCGTAATTAACCCCCTAGTGGGTTTTCAGAGGCAGTAAATCTCACAAGAGACTGCCCATTTTTCTCCCATGGAGCAGATGGTAACTTCAAACTATATGTCTTTGGAATTGTAGCACAGGTTCTTTACCACTAGGCCATCAGACCTAACCTCAATTAAGGTCATAGCCTTTATGGAAGCAGGCTGCCGCGTCTTTCTCCTGTTCAAACCCCTGACTTTTGTAACTGAACATTTAACGACTACCTTACCAGGGCTGTAGTTTGAGATTGTAAATGTTACTGTTGTTCAGTCCCTTCAAGTATAAATCATAGCGACCCTTTGAAAAGACCTGAACCCTGTCCTATCCTGTGCCATCCTCACAGTCTGACAAACTTGAGCCCATTGTTGCAGTCATTGTGTCAGTCCATCTCATTGGGGATCTTCCTCTCTTTTGCTGCCCCTCCACCCTTCCAAGCATTATGTAAATCTTGTTAGGTGGCATGAAGTCAACTCTGACTCACAACAGCCTTATGTACAAAAGGTCATAACTCTAGACAATCCTGCACCATCTTTTCATCCTCTGCTGTGCTTAAACCCATTGTGGCCTTCACTGTGTCGTTCCATCTCATTGTGGTTCTTTCACTCACTCACTCACTCTCCTTTTCCAAGGACTGGTTTCTCTCAATAACTTGCCCAAAGTATGAGATGAAGTCTCACCATCTGTGTTTTCTCTAAGTAGAGTATCCTTCTTCCAAGGCAGATTTGTTTGTTCATTTGGCAATTCATGGATTTATAAATATATCACCTTTATTCTCTCTTTTGGGTGGAACTTAGTAGAATTCCTCTCCCATTTCTGTCCCAATATAAAAGTACTTTATGGACTCTTATCTAATCTCATCTCTGCTTTTGAGTTGGAACTGGCTCATAACTGACCCTTTGGGGAGTTTTCTGAGGCAATAAATCACATAAGAGGAGATTGCCCATCTTTCTCCCATGGTAAAGAAAAGTAATATAGCAAAATAGTAAAGCTCATGGACATTGGTGTCACACGGCCTGGGTTCAAATTAGGGCTTTGTCATGTACCAGCCTAGTTGATATCAGCTAAACTATGTGACCTCTTCGTTTATCAAGTCTCTGAAAGTGTGTCTTCTAAATATTAAATTTGATTAAAGACGATTAAATAGTGAATCATGTAACACAGTCCCAACTAAAGATGAAAGCATGTTGGAAAACTTAGGGTGGTAGAACTATCACAGTTTGCATTTCTGAACTTTTCCTATTTTGGGAACTTTTGAGTTTTCCTGGTCTGGCTCTGTTTCCATTGATCCTTCTTACCTTTTCCTTTTTTGCCACATATCCCACCTACTCCTACCCCACCTCGTTACCTTACTGCCTTCTGACTTGTTTTTCAGCAAATGAATGGTTCTGAGGACCATGTTGCTCACTGATGTTATTTATCCACTTTATAGGTCTGTTAACTGGCTGAAAAGTGTGGGTTAAAGTCCAGGTTTCAATCCCAGAGGCGCACGGTTCAGATCCACCAGATGCTCTGCCAGGGAAGGAGGGACAATCTCCTCCTGTACCAGTCAGATCTGATTTGACAGTACACACACACCCACACACACATAATTAAAAAAAAAAGTCCAGGTTTGAAGGGTGTCTAAAGGCCATAGTTTTGGGGAATTCCACTAGTCACTGTCCGACTAGTAAGTCTTGTCTTTTAACTTTTATATGATTTAAAATTTTGTTCTACAATTTTCTCCTGCTCTGTCTGGGGCCGTCAGATATTTAAGCAGAGCTCTCAGCAGTATTAACTAGGCAGCATCTAGTTTTTGTGGTTTCAGGCTGGTAGAGGCTGTGGTTCATTTGGTACAGTTTTCTTCACCTGACATTGCTTTGGACAGGAATAAACCGACAGCTATATCTTCAGTGGCTGTTCTTCAGGTTTTTTATTATTTTTGTTCAAGAGCAACATGCAAAAAGAAAATGTATTTCTATACATTGGCATAAATGCTTGATTTGTAATGGCATAAAAGTATTTCCCAACAAATGAGCAAAAGTATAGTAATTATACACTGAAAACTATAAAATATTGCTAGTGGAAAATTTTTTCAAATTTCATTTGAATGGAGATTTACAGAGCAAGTGACTTCCATTCAACAGTTCATACCCACTATGTTTTTGGGGGTTTTTTTCCTTCCTTTATTTCTTTTTTTTCTTAATTAAGGAAAGTTTACAGAGACTTTAGATTTCCTTTCATTCATTGTTGCATTTTAGCTCACTCTTCTCTTTGAAAAGTAAAAGAAAAATTCTTTCATTGTTACATAATCCCTCCCCCCAAGTCCACTCTACTATGCAGTCTGTTCTGGACTCCTGTCATGACAATAATACCTGGTAACATATCCCTTTTAAACAGTTCTCTCCCTCATCTATTCCAATGCATTATTTATCCCCTCGTTCTCAGTCTCCCCCCAACCCCGATGTCAGCCCCCTTTTACAACAGTGGAACTATGCAGTACTTGTCCTTTTGTGACTGAGATATTTCACTCAGTATCATGTCCTCCACAGTGTTCTTCAGCTTTTAACACCTCAGAGATTACCTACCAGACTGATGTGTAGAACATTATCTTCATGAATTGTGTTACAGCATAAATTACTGCTCCCACCATCTAAAAGTTCTCTAGAACCTGGAATAAAATAATTGTATCTCTGTAGCGTCTATTTTCTTTTGGGCTACAAAGTTAATTCTTTAGCACATACTCATAGAGGTCAATATAGGGTTCTAGCCTCCTTGGTAGTTATATCACCCAAGAAAAAAGAATTTAGAAATGTAAAGATAAGTTACATAGTAAAAAGATATCCCAGAAACCAGGTATTTGAGTATATTTGTGTACAGGATAACACTCTGTTTATAACTTTTTAAACCTTTATGTCTGCTTGACATGATTTTTGAACTCAAGTCCTTTAGGGGCATGCCTCTGTACGAGAGCTCAGTCTGTTTACAGACCTTTTCCCACACTTCTTTTCTGTCTGCAGAAGTAGATATGCTGACCAAGGAGCTAGAAGACTTTGAATTGAAGAAGGCTGCAGCTCGAGCTGTCACTGGCGTCCTAGCCTCTCACCCCAACAGTACCGATGTCCACATTATCAACCTCTCACTCACCTTTCATGGTCAAGAGCTGCTCAGTGACACCAAACTGGAATTGAACTCAGGCAGACGCTATGGTCTTATTGGCTTAAATGGAATTGGTGAGACTCTTAGAAGGCAAGGTGGGAGGTAGCTCTTCTTGACTCATCGGTCACTCAGCAAGCATTTAATTTAGCGCCTAGTATGAACAAAGCAAGGAGTTTATGGTATGGGTAGGAGTCCAGATATGCTCTGGGAAAAAGAACTAGCGGTGCAGAGGATATGGTAAGTGCCAGATGAGTAGGTACAGATAGTAGATGCTATAAGAGTTGATGAGAGGAGGGCGGTTTGAGCCTCCATAGCGGAGGTGGACAACATTTGAGGAAAGTTAGGGAAATATCCCAAGAGTGGGATGTAGGATTTGCATGAGTGAAAGGAAGTAAAGGTACATGACTAAAATGGTGGGATACTGGTTTGGCTGGGACTGGGGAGTTGGTATAGGGGGCTGATGGGGAACATTGCTGTCTTCTCATTCCTCACTGTCCCTCTCAGGAAAGTCCATGCTGCTCTCTGCTATTGGAAAACGAGAAGTGCCCATCCCTGAGCATATTGACATCTATCATCTGACTAGAGAGATGCCACCTAGTGATAAGACACCCTTGGAGTGTGTAATGGAAGTGGACACAGAGAGGGCCATGCTGGAGCAGGAAGCTGAGCGGCTTGCACATGAGGATGGTAGGCCGCGACCTGAGGGAAGGTGGGGGCAGTCTTCCTCTTGGGAAGCCCTCTAGGAGACTCACAGTCCTCTCTCTTAGCGGAATGTGAGAAGCTGATGGAGCTGTATGAGCGCCTGGAAGAGCTGGATGCTGACAAGGCAGAGATGAGGGCCTCCAGGATTCTACATGGACTGGGCTTCACACCTGCCATGCAGCGCAAGAAGCTTAAAGACTTCAGTGGGGGCTGGAGGATGAGGGTCGCCCTTGCCAGGTGAGTTCTTCCTTCCTATGCATAATTTTGGAGCTTGGAAGCAAGAGTGGCATCCACTTCCTAAATGACATGCCTCCGGAAACCCTGTGAGCTTTGATAAATGTCGATAGTTGTAGAGGGGCTTCAAGCCTTTTGTTCATAGGGTTGCTGTAAGTCATGCTTGACTCAAAGGCAATCAACAACACCACCACCATCTCATAGAATTTAGTGCTTGCTCCAGTGGAGTAGTTTAGTCAGTGCCCAGTCATTGTCAGACGGGGCACTTTTTATTAGCACTGACATGGACAGCATGCATGGGTGCTCGGTGGTGAGCTTTCTTTTGGAAGAGGTCAGAGTAACTGATCTCTGGGTCTCCAGTAGACTGTGGCTTCTGGGTCCAGCCCTAAGTAAAAGGGAGCAGTAGGTATGGTTCCTTCCTCTCCTCTGACCGCAACCCTCTTTTATGCTTCAATCCTGCTAATTCTTGCTATAAAGAACAATATTAGATGACTCTCAGCATAGTTATCTTTTATCTAAAACAAGGTCCCCATAACTTCCTTGCTGTGAGTCCCTGGATAAATAGCTGACTCCTCACATTTCCCCGACCCTTCCATTCTCTGCTTAGTAGGTAAGCCCATAAGACCTGATGGATTAGATAAAGTGCCTGTCTGTCTTAAAGCATGGAGCAGTGGTTCTCAAGTTTAAACAAGCATTCACTATGTCAGCGTCATGAGCCCTTGTTTCTCAGGCTGTCCTGCAGATGTAATAAGTCAGAATGCTGGATGACAGTAACCAGAAATGTTGTCTTTTTAGTACACTGTTGTCTTCCTGAGGGTCACTAACTTCAGTATATAAGACTTACAAACTTCTAAGTACCTCTACAACCTTCCCTGGGTCTCTAAGCCCTTTTTTCTATCTGTTAATCTCTGCTCTACAACTGTGGTTTTTCTCAACGTTCTCAACTTTGTTCTGAGCTATAAAACCCAGAATTGGTTCCAAGACTTTCCCAGAGCCTCAGCAGAATTGCACGTAGCAATTGGTAGTTGGTTACCTGCCAGTACCTGTTGGACTGAGGTGCCCTCTGTCTCCCTTCCTGTTCCTCAGAGCCCTCTTTATTCGGCCCTTCATGCTGCTGCTGGATGAGCCCACCAATCACTTGGACCTCGACGCTTGTGTGTGGTTAGAAGAAGAACTAAAAACGTAAGAGGGCAGGAATAAGATCAGGGGCTTGGGAGAGTCTGAGGGGCAATTGAACAGATTCCAGAGGGAATTGATATTCAGAAGCCATATTGACAATTAAAGCAGTAAGGAAAATAAGGCCAGATTGAAAAGTGGTCTCTACCTAAGGGCTTGACTTGTTTGATTTTTTTTTTTTTTTCAGTCTGAAACATTAACTTTTTTGCATTTTCCCTATACTTAAAACAACAACTTTATTAAAGACATCTGGGGTTTTAAAAAAGAAAAAATTGTATGCACCCTGTGAAGGGGACTACAGTCAAAGATCATCACGCAGTGTCAAAGTCTTAATGGCAACAACCTTTCTGTGACTAAAAACTAAATATCCTGGCATTTTGTACTAACATTTAAATAAGCTACAGTGACCCCTGAAAAAGTGTCACTGATGTCCTTTCTCATGTCAGCACAGCTCTTCTGTCCCGTAGTTTTGTATATACTTAGGGTGTATTCTTAAATGTATACTTTTTTTTAGACCATGACCTTTATTACCACCTCCATTCCATTCTCTTGGAAATTAGAAAAAAACAATAAAGGAAACTCAGAATTCTGAAAGGCATCAGTGTTACGGAAAGACTGTGCATTGTGTCCTAGGTACCTGCTGAGAGCTGGGAATTGGACAGTAAAGCTAAAAGGTGCTCAGGTTTAAGGAGGGCAGAAGATGGAGACATTCTGGGTCTGGCTGGGTTCACTTGCATGGTCTGCCTCCTGTTTGTGATTGACTCTTTGGCTTTGCAGTTTTAAGCGTATACTGGTCCTCGTCTCCCATTCCCAAGATTTTCTGAATGGTGTCTGTACCAACATCATTCACATGCACAACAAGAAACTGAAGTATTATACGGTGAGTAGGCCCTGATTTCCTGCACAGTTCTATCTCTGCTTGCCAGTTCTCTCTGCAGTTACCCTTTTAGAAAAAAAGATTTATCATCCTCTTTCGCCCTGTTACTATAAAACGATAGGGCCCAGGAGTCCTGTAGCCTTACTGTAGACAAGATTACTCTGTCCTAAAGTAATTGTTGGCAGCCGCTGTGGGCTCGCCTAAGGATTTGACCTGGAGTTTGGCTTTGGTCACGCCAACACTAAAAGACTTTTAAAGGGCTTAGATTCTAGATTAGGATGCACCACCCCTCATCCTCCTAAATGCTCATCAGAACTGGTACCTAGACTAGAACTGCTGCCCCTCCCTGGTGTTTCCACAGGGTAACTATGATCAGTATGTGAAGACGCGGCTGGAACTTGAGGAGAACCAGATGAAGCGCTTCCACTGGGAGCAGGACCAGATCGCACACATGAAGGTAGTACCGTCTGAGACCCATGCTCACACTCCAGTGAGACGAGCAGGAAAGTTAGATGTTGGCATTTTCGAACCTAGAGGGTGTGGAAGGGATTAGGAAGAAGTTATGGTCACTTAAATCCTTTGCTTAAGATGGGTTATTCGGTGCCCTAAATGCACCCTTTCTGGTCTCTTACAGAACTACATTGCTAGGTTTGGCCATGGCAGTGCCAAGCTGGCACGGCAAGCCCAGAGCAAAGAAAAGACACTACAGAAAATGATGGCCTCAGGTCTGACAGAACGAGTTGTGAGTGACAAGGTAAGGTCCAGTTGGATGGATTTGATGAACTGAGAGCTTTTTATAAAGTGATTAAAGGGAGCTCCTTGATAAAAAAGGAGCCCTGGTTGTGCATTGGTTAAGTGCTCGACTGTTAACTTAAAGGTTCACAGTTCAAACCCTTCAGTGCTTCCATGGGAGATAAGACATTGCAGTCTGTTCCCATAGAGTGCAGACCAGAACACCCTCTGAGACAGTTCTGTGTAGTCACTGTGAATCAGAATTGACTTGACAGCACTTAGCAACGACAAAAGCCTAGATAAGTATTCTCTTCTTTTCCTAGACATTATCCTTTTATTTCCCACCATGTGGCAAGATCCCTCCACCGGTCATTATGGTACAAAATGTGAGCTTCAAGTATACAAAAGATGGGGTAAGTTCAGACCAGAAAATGTCTATAGGGAAACGTAATGAATGGTTGGGAAGTGGGGTGAGTTTACAAGAGGAGGTTTTCATGTTCATTGTTAAGAGCATCAGGGGGGCCATTTCAGCCATCGCACCTGGAGTGCATTACCCAGGCACTCAAGTGGCCTTTTTCATGTGCTTGGAAAGAGAACTGACAGCTAAGGTAGCAGTTGGAGGTCATGAGTGGAGTCTGCTGTCTGAGCGGACCTCCCTCATGGTGACGAGGGCTCAGGGCTGCCCTTCCTTATTCACCCATCAAATTCTTGTCTCTCTCATACTGCCCAACCACAGCCTTGCATCTACAACAACCTAGAGTTTGGTATTGACCTCGACACACGAGTGGCTCTGGTAGGGCCCAATGGAGCAGGGAAGTCAACGCT